ACAGTATATATAATTTTTTATTTTTTTTTACTTTTTACTGACCTTGAAATGTGATTCCCTTGGACCTTGTTATCTTGCTGTTGTAGCATTGACGATTAATAGCAAAGCGTTGCATCCCTTTTTCAGATTCTTTGCTTGATTGTGTCATTTTCCTGACCGCCGATATTCCCGACTCAATGCAGAGCAGTAGTGCACGCGGCGCACTGCCGCATAGAGTTAAGGTGCGTTCACGTCAAATGAGTTTTGAGCGTCAGGCGGGTCTGGTTTACATTCAAAGTCTGTGTGGAGCACTGGGCAAGTTAGATGTGCTTGATGCTCAAAACGCTCCAAACTTCTGAGTTGTTTATATTTACTCTTTCTGTCCTTCATCCTAAAGCTAATTGCCCTTTGAGGATAAAACTGATACCTTGTGTCTTATTTGGAGGCCATTACAAAAACTTATTTAGTTTTTTAAGCCATTTAGAGGTGGAACTGTGGTTTGGTTCATTGTTTTGCTGCATGACCAAAATCCGTTTGAGCGTCAGGTCACAAACTGAGGCCTGGACTGCAAGATTTTCTGACAGACAGCAAACAAATAAATGGCCTCCATCTATTACAGCTGGATGTTCCTCCAGAAGCAAAATAGCCCCAAACCGTGATTGTGTGAAGTTCTTTCACCTATCTTCCAAAAAGTTAAATTTCTGTTTTATTAGTCAACAAAATATTTTCCCAAAGCTCTTTGGGAATCCCTAAGATGTTTTTTTGGAAATGTCAGAAGTGTCTTTGTGTTCTGTTTTTGTCTCAAACGTCTTCCATAGATGCCAACTTTGCTGCAGTCTCTCTCTTATTGTTGAGTCAAGAACGTCGACCTTGTGCTCCAATACATCCGATGCTGTTCTGGGTTATTTCCAAACTGGTAGGATTGTTTCTTATCTTCTCTTGGATTCCCTAAGATCAGGACATTTTGTGTTGCTTTTTGATATTTTACCCGACTTCATGTTGTCTTTTTGTGATTCTACAGGTCTGGACTTAATCAGGTTTAGGTGAAGGAATTGAACTCAGTCAAAAAAAATGTGGATGATCACATTTAATTTGTGACTTAAAAATGGAAGAGAAATGTTTTTCACACAGATCCAGGTTGAATTTGATTGCTTTTTCCCACATTTTGGATTTAATTTACCCAGGTCAAACTTGTCTGGTGATAAGATATGTTTGATGAAGCATAATTGTGACGGAAAAGCAAAAGCATAATTAGAAATATAAGAAACCACTCAAATTGTTTTTTAAATAACAGGACTTAGCTGGAGAGTTTTTCAGTTTTAATAGTAGATCATTTCTATTGATGATGGCGGCGGCTTAGGCCAATTTGCATCCAGTTACCTTCCTCCTGCGCTGTGCTGTGTTAGAGATTTTTTCAGGTGTGACTCCCATGTCAGCCAGCACCTTGGCGATTCCTCGGGCGTCCACCCCACAATTAGGAGCTACATTCTTCTCACAGCGCCGGTGCACGTTCATCTTGCACGCTGCGAAAACAGCAGGAGGACATGCAAGCAAGTCAGGTTTGACCTGTTGTAAAAAAGGCTTTCTGGCTCCGATATTGGACTGGTGCCGGCTGTGGAGTATGGAAACAGGTCAGAGGTCGGAAGCACATAAAACAGGTATCCATCAGGACGCCATGGACACTAGAACACTGTATGTTCATGTGGAGTATTAAACTTTCAGAAAATAAACATAAAAACACATAGATCACATAAAAACATGACTCAGTGATGTTCTTAGCATGGCTAAGAGGTATATCTGTAATGAACCGTTTCATTTTTGCCAGCTAATATTCAGTTTATTTTTGCCTAATCAACATTAAGCTTTAGTACACATTTTCTGCTTGTCAGCAACTCCAAATGCAGATTGGCTTTTTCAGAAAGTGTCCATTAGTTCAGCCACCGGCACCAACAGAATGTGTGACAGTTTTTCAGAATAGACGAAAGATGATTAAAAAGACACTTTTCTCCCATTACAATATGCGACCGCCGTCCCTCCAAAAGACACCAACCAAACACAGTTTTTCAGCTGAAAAAACTCTTGGCAAATGCTGTGTCGCATCTTATTTTAATTGCATGCTAGCCAAAAATAAATATTTCCCTGTCACATTTTAGAGGTGCTAGATGAGGTCCTGTCTCCAGTCATCACATAACAGAACACTGAATTAAACCCATCTGTCCAGCACAATATCGCGCAGAACTGCACCGGATAAAAATTACATCTCACTTTGTCTGATGTTAACAGATGAAAAACTACTCAACATAACAACCCCACATGGTATTAATGTTGAAACAAGCAGAAAGAGTTTAGCTTTTCACATGTTGGAATGAGAAATCTGGAGAATGTGACTATTTTTTTTATCCGATTAAATGATTCATTGTCAGAGTAATCAATAGAATAACTAATTACTAAAATAATCACCAATCTGTTGAGACCTCTTTACATGTTTGTCTGTATCATGTGGTATTTCTACTTGAATGATCCCATATGGATCAAACAGTAAACAGCTGCAGAAACACTGAACTTATTCTCTGTTGCCTCACAATGTTTCCCTTCAGAAACTCAAGGGTTTGTTTTTGTCAGTGTCCTCCATCTTGTCCAAAAACTACAAATGTATAATTTCTCCTTTCGCCTCCTTTAAAATTTATGGTTCAATCACAAAATTACACAGCATGTGGGACCTTTCTTCTATAAACTTAAATTAATTAATTATAATCCATATTAAATCTCTCAGCTGAAGTAATCCACTGCTAAACATAATTTAGCACGAATGTACTTAGGCCTGTCACAATAAACAATAAATCAGTTAATTGCATGATAAATTAAAACGAGTTCAATCATTTTCATTTGCATGATTTATTGTTTTTCTATCAAAAACGGGATGACAAAAGACTTCAGTTTTGTGCTTTGGTTTCAATTAGCCCCCTTTTTTTTGAAGGACAATGTTGTTTACAAAGACTTCATGATTCATTACATTTGTTGATTTCTGTTGTTTATTTTGAATATTTAAAATGTCTTCCAGATTTAGTGTTAAAAGTTCACTAAAATTTAAAGTTTACTCATTTTTCAGAATGTGTTCTTGCATTATTATGCCTTTACCATTATATTACTTGAAGATTGTCTCAAAACGACAATATTACGGTTTATCGCAATGTGTGGGACAATTTATCGTCCAGTAAAATGTGTCATTACGACAGGCTTATGTGTGCTGACAGTTCTCTGAAACTGATTGGCTGTTCATGAAGCCCACACTGACGACGCCTGCAATACAAAATCTGGTACTAGGCATGAGATATACTTATGCACTCTTCCTAAAAATAGCAAAAAATTACCCAAAATCTGTTTTTGCCACAAAATCACTCAACTTATACGAAACATAAAATTCCTGTATGAAATATTCATTCATTTTAAAAGTGAAATTCAATTACTGCAAACTACAACTCCCTTTGAAGCTGATGATTTCATCTTGGCTTTTGCTGTGAAGCTTTTATTTAGACTTTTATTGAAAAGTGTTGCCTTTTTTCAGATGGTAAGTTTGTGGCTGAGTTGAAGCTCACCTTTACACTGCAGGCCCTGCCTCATGAGGCCCCACAGCAGAGAGCCACAGTGGTCACAGAAGGTAGGCACCTTGTAGTTGTGGATACTGAACTTGTGGGGAATGTTAACGCTGAACCCCCTTGAGCCCACCTGCAGAGGGAGACGCACAAAGGATTACACAGAGGGCGAGTGCACATGTTTGACTTGTAACAAACTCTGGATGCATTTTCTATTCATCTTTATTAAGCTTGAAAGAAGCAGAAACAAGTGGGACATAACCCACACAAACACAAACATCAGCATAAATACAGTTAGACGTAATTTCTTTTCTCCCTGTCTGACAAAATCCGGATAACTTTTTCTGTTTTGGGAGCTACAGCCAAAATATTTGTTGTTATTTGCTGAATGCTAAAACAATAAGAAAAATCTCGATTACTTTTTCAAATTCAGAAGCCCAGAATATGAAGTCTTGGCTTTGTGAACTTCTGGTTCACAACATGGAGGCACAACTGTGGGCGTATTTCAAATTATTACAAGGTGCACAAACATTTTTTTGTGTCACATTTTGGCATTTAAGGACTAGATGGTCCTAATAGTCAGACAAAGATGGAAAAAAGACGTTTACAGTACATGCAGACACGTGGGTTTAACTGCATGCGTTTGCACATATTTACCTCCTCGGCTGTTTCGTCCTGCTTCTTCATCCCAGCGCACGTGGTGATGATGAGCAGATGGCAGCGCTTATGGACAACACAGGTACATACTGAAAGCACCAATGCATTGCAATCACTCCTGTGCTGTTGTAATTGAAGTGTGGCAGATACTGATTAATTTAAAAAAATGGACATGAGTTTAAAGGATCTACTATTATTGAAGTTAAATGGAAACAATTGGATAAGTGACTGATTTTTTATTTTAATATGACAAAATAAAAACATCTTAATTCTTCAAAACGATGCAAATTTAAAGACAAATCTTAAAGTCTGGTGTGTTTCTCATGAGATGTGACAGAAAATGCTGGAGTGACCAGAGTGTTTCATGTGTAGCGCTGCAGTAACCCCGCTGCCAGAAATTGGGAAATATTTCCAGTGAGGAAAAACATGGACAGTTAGTGTGTTAAAGGTACAGATTTTTTTAAACTACAGGTGTTAAGCTACAAAGCGTCCTGTCAGGGAAGTAGCTAAACGTCCTGCTACCCAAGAAAATCAATACATGTATTGAAAAGCTTTAGATGTTAAGGACTTTTTAAACTAACCAGTGCCATGTAATTCCAGCTGGTTCTTTTCGTCTACTTAGTTTTGTTTCTTCTGAAAATGTCAAAAATTGTTTTTGCACCGCTGGAAAATTCTGCTAACCAAAAATATTTATAATACAAAATCTTACCAAGAGGTTTTGGTCCAATTTCTAGTGCAGATAACTTAGTAGTAGTATACTTGAAACATGTATACTTGTTTCAAGTATACATTAAGACAAAACTTATTTCAAGTTTTGTCTTGTAATAAGACAAAACTAACTAGTTACTTCTCAGAAACATGTAGGATCTTGTTTTAAGTAAAAGAAAGGTTATACTTAAGATAATTTAGTCTTATTTTAAGTGTATTAAGATATTTGCACTAGACACTAGACCAAAACTACTTGGTAAGATTTTGTGTTTCTCCAGTCAATAATAATAATTCCACTAATTATTATTATATAAAGTTTCCTCCTCAGCCAAACAAAAAGGAGATTTAGCAACCTGTCACATTTCTCTAATTGTATAAAAAATGTAAATAATAAAAATAAAACAATATTTAATATTTTAGAAGTATTTTTAGAAGAGCAGTTCCAAAAACAAAATATCCAGAAGCAAACCAGCTGAGCTGCAGGAAGGGCTGCACAGAGCTAATGGCGTCTGGTTTGCTAAGACAAACAAGATTCCTTCAGGCTGCTCAGAAACTTAAGCCAAACTGTATCTGATAAACATATAAAAAGTACTCTAATTAAAACACAGTAAGCTGTCCCAGAAGAGTTAAAGCTATTTAAGTTATCAGTGAGTAGATGTGAAACCCAGGAAGCCCAGATTGAATTACTGATGAGGGCATTTAAACCTCATCGAATGCCAAATGACTTCCATGCTGGGGTTTCTAATTCCCACATAATTCTTGGGGGATTTGATTACTCTGGTGTGTCGGGTTTGAGTCCTTGCTGGTAAGAATTTCCACAAACAAACTGTCACATGTTTGTGGCACAACCTTATCCATGCATTAACTGTGCATGTTGTTTTGCAGAAGAGTCCTGCTCTGCATTTTTTTAAAGTGTTTAACACTTGGTGTGGTAATGACAATGAATGGCTCCAGAACAAATCACACCCGTCACTCAGCAACATGTAATCCTCTCCCGTGTTCTCCTGCTTCAATAATAAATAAAGTGCAATGTTACATGAGAAATTTGGACAGGGCCGGGGAAAAGTACTCACTCTGACACTGGTATCCCTGCTTCCCCAGCACACCCCTATCGGATCACACACAAGAGCAGCCGGCGTTATCAGCCAGGCGGGTTCAAAGAAACTCAACTTCTGATGCAAATGAGCTGCAACAGGTGTGCTTATGTGTTGCCTACCAGATAAAATCTCTGCAATGTGAGCAGTAGGTCGGTTGCCTCAAGTAGGTGGCCATGAACTTGTGTCCATTGACTTGATGGACGCGTCTTCGGACGGCTCCTTGTCGGCGGCGAGGACCGATCCTCTCGCGGAAAACCCTCTCCTCATTCTCGTTAGTCCCCGAGGCTGTCGATTAAAAACACACACACACACACACACAGAGTCGAGTTTCAGGTTTTTAAAGGGCCAAAAACCAAGTCAAGTCTCTGGTTTTTCGCTCCATGTCCGAGTCAAGACTCTCAATTCATTCATTTTGAGTCAACTCTGGTTTCTGAGGGACAAATCCAAGTTAGGTCTCACGTCTTTTACTTCAAGTCAAAGTCAAGGGTCAAGTCTTTGAGGGGTCCAGCTCATGTCTTAAGTGTTTTGCCCAAAATACAGTGTCAAGTTTTCCATTTCAGTGTCTTTAACTCTGTGCATAAAACAAGTCCCAAGTATATGAGGGGGAAATCCAAGTCAGGTCTCCAATCCCATTGAAGTATTTGCTGAAACCATGACATGAACTGCTGTGAATAAGCTTGAAAATTAATTATAGTAGTAGCTTTTGGCATAACTTCACCCCAGCTTTAAATTTCTCTTAAAAAAAACTTTTTATATTGCCTTGTTTGGCGTTTTATGTTTAGGTCCCACCATATAGCATCTTCATTTAGTGTTACAGAGATATGCATACTAAAAAGTGTGTAAATAATTTATAAGATGAAGCTGAATTAGGTGCAGCTGATGGCGGTGAATCAGACAAAAAACATAAAATCCAAGTAGAAAAACAGTTTGCTTTTTAATTGTGAAACTACAAAAATTTAAAATGAATCATTTTTATAACCTAGAATGTAAGCATTTTTAAAATGTATGCAAAAACATAGCAACAACATTGTTATATTAAATTACAATAAAATACAGGCAAAATGCCTGTTAAAATGCATCTTTGTGTATTAAAAACACGTTTACAATAGTGGGAGATAAAAAGTTATTTTGTTCTGAAATAATACACTTTTGGCTGACGTCAGCGTGAGGGACAGCCATGTGATGATTAGGCTGCAGCTCACAAGAACAGATTGTTCTGAGCCATTGTTAGCACAGCTTCATTGAACTTCCCGGGGCTATAAATCAAACGCACCCTTTCACAGGAGAATGTGCATCCTTATCAGAGGTGTACACTGTCTGTGCCTTACGTACTGGCTTAATTACATGAAACAAAGACTCAAACACCAAACCACAAGACAGACTTAAGTTTTGAGTCAGTAGCCACATGGTTCACATAGACATAAGTAATCAGAATAAATAAAAATGTACCATGTAAGTAATTCTGCTCAATCTGAATAAAATTGTAATCCGGATGAGAGGCGTAGTTTATGTCGGTTGTTAATCCAAACGCTCTGCATGTAAACACTTAAGACCATGTCATTTTGATAGCAGCAAACAGACCTGACTGCACATGTGTGCCCTATGTCAACTTGACGTAAGTCGGACTTCGGTGGCTAGACGATATGTTGAGGAAGCAAAACTGGTCAGTTGATCTCTCATCCTGTAACGAAGGAAGACCAACAGCGTACTGCTTAGCCTGCAGCTTAATTAGTGAGTGCAGAAACGTCTCAACCGTTATCAGAACCCGGCTCGGGTTTGTTCTGGGAACTCAGGAGACAGAATGAAGACACTACTGCGTTTGTTTGCTTTTATGTGCAGGACAGAGAAACACAACTTTTCTGGGTTTTTAGGAAATTTTACAATTCTGTCAGCTATGTCAACTGCATCAGTGCTTCTATTATGTATAAAGTCTGGTGTATGTAATTTACGTTAGAATATATTCAAATATGATCAAGTATTTTTGCGCATTTAAGCAGTTTTTGTTTTTGCCACTTAAGCAAAATTCAAATCTAAATCTTGAGCGTTTGTTTTTGTGACTTAAGTACAATTTGCATTCTAATAAAGTCTTAAATTTTTAGTGAGTCTTGAGTCTTTTTTGGGGGGGAATTTAAAAAGTATTAGTTGAGACTAAGCAAAGTCTTCACTCTTTCTTTCTGCAACTTAACTATATCTCACCTACAGCTGTAAATAATAATTATTTTAGTAACCTGGTAAAAATCAGCAAAATAAATAATTCAATTCATTTTTTAAATAAGGAAATAAATATTTTATTGACTAAAATGTAACGGCAATCCCTGAGTGAACACTTGATGATTTGTAGCAAAGGATGCAGCTAAGAAAAATACTTCGAACATTAACATGTGAAAAGCTCAGCCATTTCTGATTAACTAGGGCTGACCTGTTGATTATGTTTTATCTATTAACTGATTGATGATTTGAATTTAAAAGGTGCTTCATGGGAGATGGTTTGATTTTACAGAATTTGATCCAGGTGATGCTAAAACTTCCACTTGAGGATTTCAGATTTACACATGAAAAAGGGTTTATTTTATCTTGAATGCAAAATGTATGTATTGGCTTAATAGGTGCTATAAGAAAATTGTTCATTTTTGAGTCTGTGTACTCTAGGTATGAATCAGCTGACGATTCTTTCAATAATTCATTCATCATGATTAATGCGACTGTTTCAGCTCTAATCTCACCACAAATCTTTTTTCGCAACTTAAATGTGACTCAAACTGTCATACTCGAAGTCCTCATCTCTAATTCAGCCACAAACTTTCTTCCAACCACTCTTTTTATTCTTAGTGCAACGGTTTGTACAAATCGGGATTTTGCATCATGTTGCTCAGGATGTCTAATCACTCAATGCCTCCTCTTCCTTCTCAGTCCTTCCTCCCTCTTTAAAAAAGACACCCCACACCTACCGGAGGCCTATGCATCTATATACTTGTGGAAAGCTATTTATACTGCCGTGTGTGGGCACAAAAACGAAGGACAGCATATTAAAATACTCCTCCTCGGTGAACAACATCCAACCAGTCCTTTTTACTTCCTTTCTGCATCCCCCCAATAGATAAATGCTTTCCAAGAGTAACCTTAAGACAAGAGAACCACCTCCACTCTCACTCCCACACACACTCCTTCCCTCGGCGCTCCTGTCCTAGTTAGCCTTTCTCTCACTCCGTCAGCGTCTCTCTCCGGGGTACGCTGTAGATGTGGTTACTGCTGAGCCTCTCCACAGTTCGATTACAGACAGGATGTCTAGGGAGTTTGTGCATGTGGATACGGGTGTAAATCTGTATTCCTGTATCTGTGCGTGATGCACGTTGGTCGGAGGGGAGCAGCAGCTAAATAGTCCATTACGGAAATCATTTTGCTTTACATAATACATTGTCCATCTGTCTCGGACACACACACGCACACACACACTGAGTAGTAGAGGAGAAGAGGCCTAACAACTGCTAAGAGTTATTGTCTTGGAGACGGCCGTACTCTGGACCTGAAGAACAAGCGTCTGGGAGACGGTCGCCAAATAAACAGAAACACGAATGTCCAAATTTGACAAAAACAAGCAGGAAGCCGACAGCAACATCAAAGCAGCGGCTTGATAGAAACAAAATGGATCTTCAAAGAACAATAAATCTACAGTAAACCTTGTGACACGGTTGTCTGACATTATCTGTATTCCCTGAGCACCACACTTCATTACACGTGATCGTAACAATAAAATGCCACAATGTGACTCGTCAAAGTGAAGTCAATCTCACAAAGCTTGTGACTTTTCCGTAGATGTAAAGGTAGATGTTTTTTTAAACCTGGTCTCTATAACCGAGACTCTGACTTTAAAGCAAGAAAAAGAGAATTTCTGACTTTGCTACGTTGCATTGAGTTCACAAACTGAGATCATCAGACTTGGTGACAATCAGCCAATCTGTTTGATTGAGACTTTTCCATGCACAGTGAAGGCAACACAAAGTGTTTCACAGAAACAAGAGGCTATAATAAAAGAAAAAAAAAACATATACATCCATCGTCATTCATGGATGGATGGGTGGATGGATGAACAAATGCAACTTCACATTGATTTAATTCTGAGCAACAACAGAACATGGATCACTTTCTTAGAAAAACTCTTATTTTAATGTCAAAGTTTGCTCTTCAGTATTTGCTATGAACTTCAATTAGAAGAGAAAAACATGGTTGATAAAAAATTAGCACTTTGTGATGAACCTTCCATTTTTAAAAGATTTTAATTAGCCAGTATTTTTTTTTTTTTTTTTTTTAATGGCATGTCACTGGGAGTTTTTTTTTAACTGTATCAAACATTTTTTTCTGGG